TCAGTAGCAGCAGAAGAAAAAACTTTGAAGTGATAATCGAGATGACCCATAGAAGGTGTGAGGAGAACTTAACGAGTGGGGGGGGGGGGAAATTCAATTAGTGTAATGACCCAACCATTCCCAGTGGGAGAACACTTCAATCTCTCTAATCACTCAGTGACAGACTTGAAGGTGTCAGTTTTGCAACAAAAAAACTTCAAAAACAGACTCCAAAGAAAAACAGGAGTACTTGTGGCACCTTAGAGACTAACAAATTTATTAGAGCATAAGCTTTCGTGGACTACAGCCCACTCCTGTTCTTCTTTTTGCGGATACAGACTAACACGGCTGCTACTCTGAAGACTCCAAAGAGAGACTGCTGAACTCGAATTAATATGCAAATTAGACACAATTAACTTAGGCCTAAACAGAGACTGAGAATGTATTTGTAATGTCACCAAGAGATATTCAGAGCAATACTGCAGGATTCTTTTGTTTAGAGGAATGATTTAAGTTAAATAATAGTACAGTTACAGAAGATTATCCCCATATCTGGTATTCTTCACTGATACAGTAATGTGTCCTGTAGATGGTGCTGTTCCCTCACTATTTTCACTTTCCACTGAGACATGACACTCACATGTGATGTTCCCAGAAAAAATAATCTCTGTAATATGTGTACTTTGTGCATCCTGAACTGCAAACAGAAAGAGGCGATCTCGTTCAATGTGAAATTAAAAGTGAAACTGTTTTAAACTTTTAAAAATGGGACCAGGGCTGTACGACATTGCTCATGCTGTTTTAATGGAGTATCTCATCTTGGTTGAGCGGAAAAAGAACCCAATGCCCCCAATTTGCAGTAGAATTCCTTTCCTTCTGAACAAAACAAAACAAAACAATAATTCACAGAAGCCCAGTTTTAAGACATCCAGCCTTTTTAACTAAAGTATAATCCTGGCAGACACATAAGAGAATTTGAGTGTTCACTTTTTTTTTAAAAGGACATTAAAATAACATTTAAATGAGTGAGAGAATGGCTGAATTAATGAAGCAATAACTTAACAAACAGACAAAGTAATGTAAACAGATGTGTCCTACTTCAAACAGCAGCTCATGTTTGATCAGCCTTTCACTGGAGATGTAGAGCTGGCAAGTACTCTGGGTATTGGACAAGGAGGATTTTTCCATCTGTGTTCTCTGCCGTGTGACATCGCAGTGAACAAGGCCAGATAAAGTTTAGCACAAGATTAAAAGGAGAGGAGCCTGATACTGCAGTAGTATAGTGTTTGTTTGGCCTCATAATATTTCTTATAAACAGAGCTGGCAGTGACACTTATAGTTAAGATTGCCTACAATTTTCCATTAAAGCCCCTTTTTTCAGTTGCTTTTTCACTTTGCCAAACTTTAACTGTTCAGGTTGAATGATGACAGGTTTCAGAGTAGCAGCCGTGTTAGTCTGTATCCTCAAAAAGAACAGGAGTACTTGTGGCACCTTAGAGACTAACAAATTTATTAGAGCATAAGCTAAGAAGTGGGTTGTAGCCCACGAAAGCTTATGC